TGAGTTTTTATTAACATTAATAGGTTTATAAAGGATTAATCTAGCTAGATGTATTCATTTTTAAAAATACTTTAAATATGGAGATGAGGTGATCCAGTACATGCAAAATCAGAAGGACAGGTGCTTTTGTTAAATAATAAAAAAAGTACTAAAAAACCCACCCACTCCCTCTCCTCTACTAAACACCAAACTATTGGAATATGGGTATGTTAGATATTAAATGGCCTGATTACCCTTAAAGTTTTGCAAAATGAATTCAGGCTTTGCTGGATGACAACATTTTCAGAGAGGGCGTGGGTTTGAAGCATCAGAAGCTGACATCATTCCCAGGTGGCAGTAGGAAACACCAGAGGGGCACTTCGCTTGCCTGTAGGTGCCAATGTCGCAAAGATGAATGCTGTTTCTGAGTCAGGGTTGCTTTATGATCTCCCTAGCTGGTTTTATGTAATGCTTTTCTTTCTTTTCTTTTTCAAGGTGCAGGGAATGGTAAGTGCAAGTCAGGTTTTTTGTTTTTTTTTTTTTAAATCCGTTTTTTTAGAAAAAATACCCACAGAGTTGTCTTTGTTCAGACTTGGTGAAAAAAAGTCTTCCTTGCCCAAACTCAGGACTGCTCCTCTCCATCTTCGTCTATTACACGCAAAGTCTGCTAATAATTTTTTTTCTACTTTGTTTAGTTAATTCTTGCTCAGGTGTTGCCACATGGTCAGCAGCCTTTCCAGTTTTTGGTTATCTCTGCATAAAAGGGGCCTAATTTGCTAAGATTTTTTTGTGTGTGTGTACTCTTTGACACTTTATCAAGTAATTACGGACATGTACTTAACACATGGCATGTTTTGCATGCATGTAAACTTTAATCGAGTATATCCCAGGATACTTAGTGTCTGCCACAAATGTCTTCTATGCAAGTTCATCTTACAGCATTAGGAACATACAGTATTGTGATAGGACATACAGCCTTGTGCCTTTGTATTAGTAATGCTTAGGATCCGTTTCCCTTTTTGTAGCAATCATTTAGACAGTCATCCATTTCCTTCAGCTCCTGGTATCATCTGAACAGTTGCTGGCTCAGCCTCCCTGTGCCAGAATGTCTTAATTTGGCTAGTTGGTTTTACCCTATAATCTTGGCAAAATAGTAGTTTGAGCATAAAAATGGCAAAACTACCAGGCGACTTCAAGGTTTATTTTTTTAGGCTAGCTAAGGTAAATTTTGTACCTGTAAGCATTCATTCGTTTGGGGTGTGTAAGCATGCGTGCATCTCAGTGGGCTGTCAGAAGCTTTATTCACAGTTGTGGTGGAGCATCAGGATTGAGCATCCGAAAGAAATGTAATTGCTACTTATATTGGAGAAACAAATACAGTTTTAGGGGGTTCTTTTGTTGAGCATCTGGGAAATAAGAAGGAGAATGAAATCAATACAGGTGGTGATAAACCTTGAAATACTGCAGTTCAGTGTACATGGCATGTTAGCACTAAGACATAATCTTGCCAGAAGACACAGGATTTATTTAAAATGAGCAGAAACTGTTTGCCTCTGCTCAGTTGCTGAACGTAGTTTTTTTTTTTTAACATTAATACATGAAATTGTCATCTCTCTTTTTTTTTTTTTCAGTGTGTTGTTTATTTTATGTTTTTTGGAAAGTATCCTAGTTAAAATGCTGGGTGTATGTCCAAGCACTCAAAGAAATATTAAACATAAGGAGCAAATTGTCGCGGTTTAAAAGTGGGGGTGAGGGGGGCCTCTCTCTTTTTTTTTTTTTTTTTAACAGGGACAAAGGGAAAGAAAAAAAAAAGTAAGATCTGAACTTATAAGTCTACATGAGTTTATCCCACTCGAGGAGGATTATGTGGCACAAGAGATTCAGAGTACCTGGGTAACTGTTATTTCAAAGGTGAACTGTGGCTCACCCGACCTGCAAAGCTCATGAGGAGAAGGGGCACTGGCCTTCGTATGAGGTTCAGCCATAAACAACTGGGAGCAATGACTTCCTGAACTGTTGCCACCTAATAAACGGATCTGTCTACACTCTAAAGCAGCTCCCATAAGACCTCTGTAACCGATTTTTAGTATTTTCTTTTCAAATAAATATTTATACATATCTACTCTGCGGGTTATGTTATTGATTACAATATGACTTGTTATTATTGAGAAGGATTTATTTTTCTAAACAAATAGAACTGAATAATCTCTCCCATTTTACCTAATCTATATCCTTACAAGGAGGATTTCTTCTTCCTCACCACACCTCCTCCAGGAATTAAGTGCATTTTTTCCAGTTTAGAAGACTTAAAAATCCCCCACATTTTTAAAAATTTTTGTTTAAATGTATAAAAATGTGTGTCTGCTACTGTAGATAGGCTAATAGGTGAATATTTTCACGTATTGAACATGGTTGTGAGCAACCAGCTCTGGGTGGCTGTCATGGTTTAGGCTGACTGGGAACTAAACACCATGCAGCCACTCACTCACCTTCCCCCACCGCCGGGGGATGGGGAGGAGAATTAAAGGGGAAAAGGGAGAGACACCTGTGTTTTGAGATAAGAAAAATTTAATAATAATGATATATGAATGTGTACATATGTATAATGATAATAATATATACAAACAAGTGATGCACAGTGTAATTGCTCACCACCCAGTGACCAATGCCTGTCACATCCCAGCTAACAATCCCGAAACAGGTAAGTCCCGACATCACAATCCCAGATGAGCGAGAGGCCCAAAAAGAGAGTGAGAGAGAGAGAGCGCACTCTGAGAGTCCGAGAATGAGAGCCCCCAGAAGAGGAAAGGGCTTTCTTTCTGATCAGCCCTTGTCTATGTACTGGGCATGATGTTGCATGATATGGAATAATCCATTGGCCAGTTTGGCCTCAATCCTAAATCTAAATTCAAATCACACAGACAGTTGTTAACCCTTTGTCCCAGCCATGCTCCCCCCCAGCCTGTTGTGCTCCTGCACACTAGCAAATCATGGGAAGCTGAACAGTCCTTGAGGCCTCAGCACCAACTATAAACATCAGTGCACTATCAACATTCTTCTCATAACAAATCCCAGACTAAATCCAAAACACGGAGCTCTTCTATCTGCTAAAAAGAAGAACTAACTGTCCCAGCTGAAACCAGGACAGTGGCCCTGCTTGAGCAGGGCGGTTGGACCAGATGACCTCCAGAGGACCCTGCCAGCCTCAATCGTTTTTTAATTCTGCTATTGATATGTGGATAAATAGTATTAAAATTTCTAACAGCTGATGTGAAGAATGTAATCTGGTTTGAAAGCTTCAACTCTAGACCTTCTTCATAGAGTAGCATGAAGGTAAAGATATGATTTAGCTTTAGAGATTTCCTTTGGAGACTTAATTCACTGGCATTTTGATGATAAAGTTAGAATTTAGTAACTGAGACAAAGACATAAGTAGCATATTCATAAGAATATTGAAGAAGCCTCTAGATGACTATTTTATGTATTTTGAAAATGCCTCTGGACTAGTGACTGAATCCTGAGAATTACAAAGTAGACCTGAAATAACGGGTAGCAGATGTATTATTTCAGCTTAAAGATTTACTGCAGAAGATGACCAATACTGGAGAGCTGCTTAGTCAAAGTTTTACCCTAATATTTCCATGTGCATTTCTAAGCTTATTTTAGGATTTAGACATGTAATTGTATACCAGTCAATTTCTGATCATTACTGCATTATCACAATGGTTCTCAAGTGTTTATTGAGCCTGTCCTCTTGAAACAAAGAGTATTTTTATTCCGTTTTTTCCCTGTCTGTGAAACAAAGAGTATTTTTATTCCCGTTTTACAAGTGGGAAATGAAGGCAATGAATGATTTAATATCGGGTGTATTTGCAAATTTAGACATACATCTAGAGCCTGATTTCTCTTTTTTCCCGTGTATTTTTCTGCTGCATCTGGCCTTATATACAACTGCACTTTAGAAGCATTGACTTCAGCTATAGCTGTAATGCTCAGTACTTCTGCAAGTAAGATCCAAAGATCTCAACTAAAGCACCAGAAAACGAGAAATATGTAAATAATGGCCAAATGTGAGAAAACATTGAAGGAACTTGCTAAGGAACTTGTCTGTTACCTTTTAGCAATCCTGTGATGTCAGATGTGGAATCACTCACTCTAGTTAGCTCTGCATGCAGAGGTGGTGGAAGGAGCCTATGGAAGGGAAATAAGTATGCTTTAAGTAATCATGAAACTGTCTGCAGCTTTCTGAGAGGAAGGAAGAAGTCACTCCATATCACACTGTGGATGTCAGAGGAACTTTGTGATTATTTTTGTGTTTGTTTGGTTTGGTTTTTTTTTCCTTTTTTTATTTCCACAAGGCATAACTATTCCTAAATGGAAGACATTGAAGCATTACATCTAGTGGTGCATACTTTTCCTCTTCTTTGCATAATTTGTCTAGTTGGGTTTTGGGGGTTTTTTTAGTTCCCTTTCGTCTACAAGTAGTGGTTGAAATCTTGAGTGTACTGCGAACAAATAAATGTGCATCTTTTTAGTGGTCTCATGTCGTATTTTTCCTGAAGTGCCTCATATTAGTGCTCTTCAAAATAAATCTCCAGTCTGATGTTAAAATAGTTGAAGTACTAAATTTTAATTTTCATTACTTCTCATAGGGGAACAAAATGCACTTCTTACTAACTGTTCACTTACTGGCTTTTTATTGTTTTTCTTCCTGATAAAGCAGTGAAAGAAGTGTGGTATCGGAGCACTGCTACTGTAATGTCAAAGGATGGAAGTGACCTAAATAGAGTTGACACAGAATAGCTTTCCAGGCATATAGAATGGTAACAGTCAGATATTCTGTTTAGTATAAAAACACTTAATGTATTTTATTGAAAGTTTACTTAAAAAAAATAAATATATCCTTTTTGAGAGTCTGCTGGGGATGGTAGTGAAAGTATTCTTTCTAATAATTCTGTAATAAGGATAAAAATTTATGGAGCTAAGCTGTTCACATTGTATTTTTATTCTTCTTTTCACAGCCCACATACTGGGTGGCAGAATTACCAGCCTGATGTGCCCCGGATTCCCACTGCTTGCATCTCTGTGGAAGATGCTGAAATGATGTCACGAATGTCTTTTCGGGGCACTAAGATCGTTGTGCACCTGAAGATGGGGGCTAAGACCTATCCAGACTCTCCTTCCTTTAACACCGTGGCAGAGATAGTTGGAAGCAAGTACCCAGAGCAGGTGAGTGAGAATATACAAAAAGAAACTTATTTTGTACCTTAAAAAGATGAAAAAAACAAACTCAAAGAACAGCCTTGCTTAAGAAATTCCTCAAATGGGTAACTCTTATTCACCTACTCTTCTACATTTCAGACATCTCAGCTTTTCAGTCTTTTTCAGATAGTAGGTTTGAAACTATCAAGGTCAGTACTAACATACTAGGATATATTTTAGAAAACTATAAGAACTACTGTATTCTAAGAACAGAAAATTCAACTAAACTATACACAATTTAACCTCCTCCTTTTTGTTTCCCTGGCTTTTAAAGCTCACTTTAAACAGTACCATCTGTATGGGCTTACAAAGAAGCGTGTATGTAAGCAGAAGTGAAATCCTAGCACTGTAAAGAATGCAGTATTGTTTTAAATAACAAGTAGTACGTTAAAGTTGCCGTAATGGTTTGTGCTTGGGGTTGCTTATTGTTCTGCTAACAGCCTTCAAGTGATTTCTTGATCAGGCAAACAAGCCAGGTCCTGCTGTTCAGAAATAAAATTGTTTGCCTGAGTTTTTCCTCAAATGTAAAGGTGAATGCAGGATGTCAGTTTAACTTTTTTGAAGATGTTTTTTCTTATGCAAATCATTGCTGTGTTAAGCAGGAGTTGTATGAGTGTTAGTTTGGAGAAGTAAACCATGTGCGCTAAAAAGTATCTGCAAATTCTGTTTGAACACTAGTCAATCCTAAATTGTTGGCTTCCATTTTAAGACTTTTCTTCTTGCTTTCTCTTTTCTTCCAACTTCTTAGCCAAAAAACATACAAACTAAATTTGTGCCTGGTATGAGGTCTTCTGTGTCAGCTTACAACATGGAATGATTTTTCTGGCAGTGTGGTTTATTGTGAAAACGCTGATGCAACATTAATTACAGCAGCACTAGAAATTGCTACTAGAGTACATCTACTGAGCCATGATTCTTTTTTTAACATTGCAGTTTTTTAACTTCAGTGGAAAATAAGAGTGACTATCTCTGTCCTTTAAACAAGGCATAGCTGTTAAAAGATTTTATCTTTTCTGTGATGGTAGTTCTGTAGCTCTGGCTTGTGATGTCTAGAGATCCTCAGTGTTAGCATGAATGTACGATTTCAGAAGCCTGATCACTGGGCAGGGAAGAAGTAACTACCCTCATGGCTGATTGGTTTACATGAAACACATATTTACCAAGTTAAAGACGATGCCCCAACTTCTAAATTAGGGTACAGTTCATTTAATTTTATGTCAGCTGATTTTTAGCCATACTTGTGACCAGCTATCTTTCCTGAACTATGGTTGGTGTATTTAAAAATTTGACGTTTATGAAGTGTCCAAATGTAACCTTCAAAGATGTGTTAAGGTGCTTGCCTGTACTTGACTTTCTCTTTGCTGTCCTGCTCTGTTTCTTTAAGTAATGGAACGGATTGGAATCTCTTCACTCCTTCCACTGAGCAGCTCAGTTTTTTGAAACACTGGGTAAAGACTTATTTACAAGCCCCCTGCTGATGTTAATGGGAGTGGTAGTAGACACACTTTGAAAATGTAACCAAGAAACAGAAAAATAAAACAAGTGAATGTTTAGATTTTTTCAGTACTTAGTTCCTCTTGGAGCCTTAATGGGTGCTTCAACGCACTCATTCCACTGCGTTACTTTGGTAAAATTGGGAACCATCTAGCTATTTAGGCAATAAAATACATTGCAGACCCAAACTCTTACAATGCCTTTTATGCCTAAGTGTTTCAAAATGCAGTACAAATCCAGAGGAATAGAAAGGTGCCATTTCCGTGGGACAAAATTTCAATTTAAGATTTGAATTGAAACAAAAGCAAATCTGGATCTCTGAACTCTGGGTGAGAAATCAGCAGTGGGTGGTATCGCTCTTACAAAGGTCTAAAGCAAAACAGTTTGAAATTAGGCCGAAGCCTGTGAAATATAACCGGTTACAGGTATTGCAGCAAATGATAACTTAAAAAACTGGAACTTAATTGAAAATGAGGGTCACTGTAGGATACTGAAGAAGTCTGGTGAGGAGTGATACAGTTCTAGATGTAACTGCATGTTAAGCATGTTTGTGTTCATCTATATATTGACCAGAATTTAATCTACTGCTTGATTTATAAATAATTCATTAATTCCTCCTGTGAGATTTTAGCATGTTTATTAAAAATAATCACAAAGAATCGAAATCTTATTTGTCTGAAAATTTTATCTGTTACAAGCCATGTTGAATGTTATTACTAAAATCCTTGCAAAGGGAAAACGATTTATTGAGTTTTCTTGCCTTTTTTTTTTTCTTTATCTGACCACTCTTGTAGCATCCCTAGTTCAGTTCCTTCTTTTTAAGTCATTTTTCCAAGTGTTTTGTGTGAATTCTTGCATATAGCAATGGAAGGGAAAAAAAGTAAAACTAGAAAAATGTTAAGGAAGCCGAAAAAAAAGTAGTTTAAAAACTTCTGACTTACTTTCTTAACAGTTTGCTTTATTTTTAGACTTAGGGTTCTTAGAGTCTTGTAATGCATGCTCTGTTTTGCTGTTGCAAGAAATGTTTAATATCATCAAAATTAACAATCAAAATTCTCAAACTTGCAAACCTTTGTTTAGGCACTTATGCTTAATTTCAACACATTTACATTTCTGCATACCTTAAAGCAGTAAAAGAAATGTGTTACTGCTTTGTGAAGCATCAAAGTCTCAGGGATGCACTCATCTTCAGAAGCAATGATGTGACCTGAGTAGAGACGTCCTGTTGCTTTTTGAGGCAGCTCTGCACCCAGGGCACGCAGGTACTTTTGAAAAGTTAGTCCACTGATACTTCAGGTTTCTGTTCTGCTCTATCCTTGCTGTTTGGCCAGCCAGTAGCAGTAAGCAAATGCTTTAGCATCAATTGCTCCAACTAAGAAAAACGTACTTTGTAACCTACTGAAAGTTGCAACTTTGCACTACCAAGTTTTCAGGTGGTGTAGAAAGCATCTGAACAGAAAAAGGAAATGGATTTTGTCACACTGTCAGTAAAGTTCAGTGTCTCACCAATGTCTCTGTTCTGTTTATCTTTGTATTATCCCTTCCAAGATAGGGAAGAGCTGCTCTCCCAGACAGGACCCTTGCTAGTGTCAGAGCAGGCATGACTGTGCATGTTCTGAGCAGGGACATCCACCGTCCTTGCAGTCAGTCCCAAGGTCCTCGTTTAGTGCCTGCTGAGGCCTGAATGTCTGTAGGTGCCCAAAGGAGGTGAGCCTCTGCCTATAACATAATGAGTTCAAGATCAAGATTTTCTTCGTATAAAGAGATTGGAAGCAATGGGACCAAACATGCCATGACTTGATGCTCTGGCAGCCTTTCTGAGCTTGGGATCCTGTCTCACGGTGCTTAGGACAGTAGCAAGAGTGGAAAACCTGTCAGTGTGAGGCTTAACATATTTAAGTCTGTGTGACTGCTGACAGTTCAGCTAAAGAGTTTGTGAAATGAAAAAGGTATGGTAGCAGAACCTGCTGAGATCCAGGCTATTGCAGGTTAGAGACACTTGCAGTCCATTTCTGACTTTCATCTTGGAGAAGGAATTTTTGAAGCACACTGTTGAACCTGGGACCGTGCCGTTAGCATCCTTTTGTACTGTATTGTGTATTGGTGAGATGTTCTATTTAAACTATGTAAATTCACACTGGAGACTGACTGACTGACTGAAATATTAACAAGTTAACTAATGTGATTTTCATTTGAAATTCGGGCAGAGCTGGCAGTTAAACATGTTTGTCTTCTCATTTTAATACAGTTGTAACATGATTGGTCTTAAAGTGCAGAAGCAACCGTTCCCATCTCTGGGGAAATGCTATAAATAGCAGCTGTTCCTTGTTAGTCTGACTTCAATGTACCTAATGTGCCAAACATGAAACCACAAAATACTTGATTAACTGAAGAGGTATCAAAGTGGATAAAGATACAGTTCTTCTATAGTCCTGACTTTCAGTGTCTTTCCGTACTGTGTATTCTTGGTGTGCAGTGCTCTTTTACTTATCTCACAGTTACTAAGTGATGGGAAAACTGTGTCCTAAGTGCCCTACGAAGTACATAAATTTAATGGTTGCTCATTATACTGTGATCTAGCATAAATACTGTTAGAGCAGAAACAGAGGAGCTAATAAGTGGCTTTTTTTGAATCCTGAAGAGTTGTTTCAGGAATTCACTCTACGCAGCTTTTTTGCCTCCTGTTTTTATGGAGTGCCATATCTACAAAATGTACCATTTGAAAAGTGACTCTATTTTGAACACCACAGGCATAAAAGACCATTGAAGAATGTACTGTAGCCCTGAGCCAAGTTTGGACAGCACTTCGAAAGTAGCAGTCCTAGGAATGACCTGAGAAACAGAGATGCTAAGGTAATAGATTGCGAAGTTCTTCACCAAACTGTTACTGATGTAACAGAACCTGTTCTGCAAAGGAAATAGCAACTTTTTAACTTTTTCATTCTCCTCTTTTCTCTATTTCAAAAATCAGCCCTCTCGGAATTTGTGATACTGGGCAAACCTCCAGGGAACAAGAGAACATGAAAATTGTCCAGGCTTCTGAGCCTGTTAGGCATTCATGCACATAGGGAAGAAATAATTTGTAGACCAAAAAAAACTCAACCTCAGGGAGAAAAAAAAAAAAAAAGACTTCTCTGAAGATGTGTAATATTCAGTACAATGTTATTTTATGGCCTGGCATCAGTTCTACATATGTTAACAAAATGTCTATCCATTAGCCCTTTGATGTGGCTTCCAGATATCCCTATGCTCAAACTAAATCATGCATACAATAGAGCTTTGAGTAGAAATGTTTTAAGAGCCTGGTGCCATCATGTTATGGCTCCATTATCACATTTTCTCCATGTGGATTGTTTTGCTTTTCATTCCAAAACATTGAAGGGTTTCTTGTGTGTTTCTGTGAGCCTCTCTCCTGTGACTGCAAGCTGATGCCTGTCGCTGCTAGAATTTAAGAGAATTTAAAAGAATTTAAG